CTGGTAGGTACTATAAATACTTGCATCTCAATGGCTCTAGGTAAGTCAATATCACAGGAAATATATGACTTTTAAGTTTTATAAGTTTTAAGCAACAGAACTGGAATAGTATTTGAAATTAACATTATGTGATAGTTTAACTGGGCTAGCCCTTGGCTAGCAGCCAACACAGCCATTCACCCCCTTCCCCCCCACCCCCAGGGGATAAGGGAGAGGATTGCGGCAATGGTAAGGAGACTTACAGGGTGAGATAAGAACAGTTTAATAATAGAAATAAAAGAAAACTTAAAATAATACTAATAATAACAGTAACAAAATATGGAAATGAGTGACACCCAATGCAACTGCTCACCACCCGCTGACTGAGCCCGGCCCGTTCCCAGATAACGATCCCGGAGAAGCGACAATCCCAAACCGAAACCACAATCCCGGAAGAGCCAGAGACCGAGAGAAAGCCAGAGAGAGCCAAAAGAGGAAGAGACCCTCACTAATACACTGGACATGTCATGATATGATATGGAATATCCCATTGGCATATCCAAATGCCAATTTAGCTTATTAATTTAAATATTCCTTGGCCCCTTAGATCTTCCGTTTGTAGACTGACAGAACACAAAGTCCTTCACTTCCAGTGACAGAAATGCAAACACTGGTGTGTTATCAGTGTTTCTCTCATAACAAATCCCAGGCTGAAAGCAGAACACAGCACTATTCTAACTACTGAAAAAGAAACCCAGCTCTGTCCCAGCTAAAAACCAGGACAATTAGAAAACTCTAACTACTGAGAAGAAAATTAACTCTCTCCTAGCCAAACCAGGACACATTAGCAGCCTCAACTGGAATTTGAACTGAAAAAAGCTATAGATGAAACTGAATAAATTAAGGGACAGTCCAGGTCAGGCTTTGTATTGCTATAGCTGTATTTTTATTGATGCCTGAATTAGCTACTATTACACTGGATCATATATATTTATGTAAGAGAAATTATACTGCAGATGGATCAGGATACATCAAGGACAAATGTTATTAGTTTAGTAATGTAGCCAATTCACAAATTGGTTTCCTAGCTCACTAGAAATTAGCAGTGCCCATGTGTTGAAAGACAGTTTGTTTTCCCAGTTAGGGTATTTGGATGCCTGGTAGCTGTGGCAAGATCCCTTCCAGCTAGCTTTAAAACAGATGCCTCCCTCCCGAATTTTTTAGCTTCTTAAGAACAATATTTTGGAGAAATTTGCCATACAGTGGTACCAGTGTGAGGGTGGTGGAAAGCAAACAGCTGACATGGGCTTAGTCGGGGTGTAGACTCGGAGCTCAGCAGTAACTGGCTCTGGGCACGCTCTCATTTTGTGTTAAATATGAGATAGGTAACCCTAAAGTCAAAGGGGAGTCCGGATACTGTAATTAGCATGAGAAAAAGGTCTCACAGAAAGAAGTGCACACATGCTGTTACTGTAGAGTAGCTACTATGTGGTAAATTCACAAACCAATTTGTTTTGTGACGACTTGTTTCAGAGCCTTAGTAATTAATTTTCAATATAATTTCCCAGCTGGACACTTTTTTTTCTTCCCTAGGATAATTATGTCAATATAGTTAGATTAGTAAATATATTGACAGAACCAACCCAAATACTTCAAATAAATTCAAGGGGTCTGTGTGAAAATACATCACAGAAGACTATGGAATCTGAGGTGTCATTCAGAATTCAGCCTAGCAAGGCACGGAGAAGTATTTGGCTGCTGTGGGGGCTGGAGCTGAAGAAACTTGTAAAGTAATGAAGACAGTTTTGAAATTCTCTGCAAGTTTTAGCATATGCTGTAGGGTTTGATTGTCTAACACCTCCCAAGGGTATATGCTTTTTGATAAGATATACCATGTACATCTTGGACTTGCCAAGAGGAGAGAATTTTAGAAATTTATCTAGAAGTGGCTTGGAAATTGTGCTTTTAGCACTCCATTTCTCTGATTTCTTTATAGTTTTATCAGATTAGCAAGGTAAGATCTTGGACTCTGTGTGTGTATATGTATGCATCTGTGCCAGATCACATAGAGATTTCATTATTTTGCTCAAGAGTGAGAACAACTTATGTATAATGGTAACAAGTATTTCAATGTACTTAAATGTTAATGAAAATGATCTAACATAAATATAATTTATAGTGGATTAATGTTAATGAAAATGTTCTAACAGAAATACAATTTATAGTGGATTATCTCCCTTATCTAGCATGGCTACAAGTGGTGTGTCTTATACAGCTGAGATATTTTGGCATCATATTGATTGTCCCTGTAAGAGGAAATATTTTTGCCGAACAGTTTTGTTGAAATACAGTTTTACTGAGAAATCCTGATTAATTTTTGTCACAGAATGTCAGTTAATAATACTGCTTTATTTGTTCTTACAGCTACGCACATCTAGACATCTACAGTGGGTTGAACAGTAACTTAAACCGCCAGCACCACAGACTAGAATCTCGCTACAGCAGCAGCTCTGGAGGGTCATATGAAGAGGAAAAAAGTAATATTTTTATTAAAAAAAATTCTATGGATAGAAAACAAAATTTTCACAAGTTAATAGTTTTACTGAAAGTTATGAAACATGAAGAAGTAGGCATTATCAGTGGTTTTTGCATGAACCTATTTAAAAATAGGGGTTTATTACATTCCTTGGTCTTAGTACTGCTGTTGAAGTCTATCATACATTTGATTACAGTAGAGTGTCCAAAGAAGATAACACACTTTCTTTCCTTCCCTTGTCCTCTGGAATGAGTTGTGAACATCTGCCCAGATGAAGCAGCTTTATCTTCTTTGCCAGTAGCTACACCAAAGATAGACAGCTGGTTAGACAGAAGAAACAGGAGAGATTACCAGGAGGAAGATGAGATGAATGAGGAAAAAGATGATAGAAAAGCAGTTTTTAAAAAAATAGAAAATTAAAAGTAGTTGTGCTTTTAAGTGACAGCAGTCCTTGGCTGCTGTTGAAGTCTATCATACATTTGATTACATTTGATTTTTTAAAAAAAAGGGTACAAAACTTTAAGAAGCCATAGCAAAGGAAATTTTGGCAGGGATAAAGGATCTTGTTGTGTACCTTTGATTTTCAAGCTTATTTTGAAAATGTGTTTTGGGTTATTTTTTGTGATCTGTGATCTGATTTTTCTGAGGTGCTGTCCTGGTTTTGCAGGAGGCAAGGAAAGAGGTAGAAATCTCTCCTGAAGCTCCATATACTTTTGGAGACTTTTCTTTAACAGAGGCTTATTAACTGTGGCTACTGGTGTACCAGTGCCTAAGATATAAAATCATTGTGACAATACTAGGGAAAGCTAATCAATGTAATCTGGCAAAAATTAGAACAGTGGTCAGACAGTACATTAGTGCATTCTGTGTGCTTTGTTAGAGTACTCTTTT